AGCAGGAATAGGAAGGTGAGAAAGATCCCCTTCAGCTAGCTAGTAAGCCCCTGATAGATACGATCTTTCAAGCATCTTTTCTTGGATGGAAACTACTTGAACTTATTGAGATTTATTTTCTGTATCTGATTGACATGTAATTTGGTATCGTACATTTCTTAACATGCAATTACATACGTTTCTTTCTTGACCAATTAGGGATTTTGAGTTCCTTTTTAAAATATTTCACTAGACTCTTTTTAATGCACTTACATATAGAAGGGACATGCTTTTCGAAACTAAGAACTTAAAACAAAGGAGAAGGAACGAGGAGGATGTTCACTACTTAAGTCTTTTTAAAAACCTACAAAACAGTCATGAAACAGATTTCAATTTGAAAGCTGACACGGGTCTTGGAAATGGCTTCTCAAAAGCATGAGGGAATACAACGTTGAATACTCAGCAATGTATTAAAATTGTTTCATATTTTCATCCTGTTTTACGGAGAAAATTTCAGCTACCCTGTTGTAATTACAAAGAAAACGGGCCCCAGCGTCCTGTCTGCAATCTTACAGGGTGCGTGCAGCCCAGATTCCCAAGACCACCATTCTTCATGAGAATTAAGGATAAAGGTCACTTCATAGGACCTCCCCAGTATTACATGAGGTTGGTCAGCATTAAGAATATAAGAGAAGCCAATGTTGGATCAGGCCAATGGCCCATCCAGCCCAACACTCTGTCACACAGGGGCCAAAAATACCAGGTGCCATCAGGAGGTCCAGCAGTGGGGCCAGGACATTCACATTTCAAATGGTGCCACCCCGGAGCCTAGTCCATATTTGATAAATTACGATTTGTGAAATTATAATGATGACAAATTGTACAAATTGAAATGTTCCTCAGTTTTATTCAGAATTTCAGGCTTAACAAAGTAATGATTCCCAAATTTCAGAAATAGATCACTTACCTTTCTTTTAGGAGGTTGTTATGATGATCCACTATAGTGTTTATAACAGAACTGGATTTATGAAGTGACAGAGCAGTAAACCTAGACTGACACTCCCATGCTGACAAATCTAGATTAATTACATCATAAACTTGGAGGCATATGCCTGGTTTATTGTAAAAATAAATAAATCACATGCTGAGGCGGTACAGGCTCTAGCCGTAGTGCAAACTAAGCATACTTTTGCATAACAGTTTTCACAGCTGTTGAGAAAATGTTTGTTGTCTTATATTGTATCAGAAAAAGAGAGAAATTTGTTTAAGTTTTTGATGTCGTTGGATACTCTTGTGACAGACAGGTTAAGTTCCACGTCTCCCTCAGAATGGCCAATTGGAGCTGACAATGTTGGCGAGAGGGGGAGATGAAGGGAGCTTGGTTCAGTGGGGTTACTCTGGCTGAGTGAAGCTGTGGAGAAGAGCAGTGTAATGCTCACTGGAAAAAGATCAAATTGTAACAAAGAAACCCAAATGCTGAATAGGGAAATAGTTTGGAAGTTCTACTGAAAAGCAGCTTTGTAACCCCTGCTTAATCTAGTCCAATGTTACATTCAAATCAGAAATAAAAGTTAATTCCTTGTTTAATCCTGTGAGCTAGTTGTCTCAGAGAAACACACACACGGATAAATGGTGGCAGCGTGTAAGCCGCTCTGAGACTCCTTTGGGTCGTGAAGGGCAGGGTATAAATCCAATCTCTTCTTCTCTAAGCCCTGTGAACTCGGAAGGAGAGGAGGAAGTGGAGAGAAGAAGCCTGATGAGCCAGGGAAAGGGAAGCTGAAGCTTCAGACATGAGCAAAGCGATGCAGCAGCAGCAGAAGTCCCAGTGAAGAAACTTCACAAGTACATTGTTATGGCATAAATATGTGCTATTATTAACATTGCAAATAGCCCAGACTAGACTGAGCTTGTCAGAAGTTGGAAACTGAGGGACAAGCATGGAGAGTACTCAGATGGGAGACCACCAAGGAAAACCAGAGTTGCAGAGCAAGGCAATGGCCAACCACCTCTGTTCATCTTTTGCCTTGAAAAACCCGATGATGGGTCAACCATAAGTCATTTGCTACTTGTCTGCACTCTACTATATAATCATCCCAAAAGTTATCAATTATCAATAATGTTAAGTTGTATATTTTCATTTATGGAACTGGCTCTTTGTCAATCTCTTGCTCTGAATGTTGACACTGGCTCGATAAGTTGTAAGATGCCAGGCTCTGCACCAGATTCACAAAAAAAAAACCTATGTTCATGCTGAAGGAAGCCTCATTGATTCCAGTATGCTAATTCAGCATCACAAACATGGCTTGGATCAGATGCTAGCGGAATAAATATATTTTCACACACCTGAAATAGGCCCAACACCGGCGGCGGGGGGGGGGATTGTAAGTATTTGATTCAAAGTAGAAGACAAAATTGATTTTCCAGTCTGGCCAGTAAATAAAACAGAAAGCTGGAGATTGATTTCCCTGTTCTATTACCATCATTATGTCTGAATACTTACTGATCTTGAGCAGCATTAAAACAATGGAATGATAGAAGTGTGGAACTGGATTTGCTATAGCAAAACATAAACTATCAAGACTTGTCTCGGACTAAAGCACTCAGTTGCCACTTAGGTACTAAAGTTTTGTTCTAGAGAAATGGTTCACAAGTGTTGGACAACTTGGTTCCTTCCCTTTGTCCAGCTTCCACACTTTTGCAATTTTTGCACTGCCTCTGGCTGGCACGCACAGTGCATCAGACAGGACTGTGGAGTACATATGGTCATGCTCAGCAGCTGCTGTCCATGTTTGGAATGCTCGTCCCTCGCTGCACTCGGCCCCCTGAAAACGAGGCTGCTTTTATTTCAGAAGGCATTGTGTGGCTGGAGGTAAGGATTAGTTAATTAAGTGGTCTGTAGTTCCTTCCATAGCTGTCTGATTCAAACGGCAAAGTACTTTGGAAAATGCCTTTGAAATGATATGTTGTCATAGATATTATTGTTCTAAAACAAATGGAAAGCCTATAAAAGTGCAAATACAGATCATGCATATTATATTTTCTACTGTCTCATTCATTTATGCCTGATCCATCTATTAAGCTAAATAAGCATCCATAAGCAAACACTGAGTCATTTTGTAGCACTTTTACCAAGACCAACCACTGGGCGGTGCTGTTCCACATGCTTTCTCAAAAATAGATTTACAACATATTTCTCTTCCCATCTTGAAGTGTTTGGGTACCAAACAATGCTACATATAAGTACTCAGTAGAATATAAAGAAAATACAAATTAAAGGTAACAATGGAAAAACTTTATGCTTTTCCAAGTGAGACGTATCAATCATCATCTTGGTCTGGAAAAGCAGAACAAAGTTCGAGTCCAGTGGTGCCTTTAAGACCAACAAAGTTTTATTCAAAGTATAAGCTTTCGTATGCACACACACTTCCTCAGATACCAGGTATCTGAAGAAGTGTGCATGCTCACTTTGTTGGTCTTAAAGGTACCACTCTAACTTTAATCATCATCTAAATTATGGTAATACTAGGAATAAGGCCCGTTGTGGAAATAAATACAACGAGCTCTAGAAAGAGGCTCTGGGCAGGTGCCCTGTCCTTGGGCATTCAGAGTCAATCTGCTGTGGTGACCTCAGCAGAATATAATGACACAGAGTCCACCATTTTCTCCAGGGGAACTGATCTCTGTCATCTGAGGAGCCACTGTAATTCTGAGTGATCTCCAGCCCTCACCTGGAGATTGGCAGCAGTGGTTCCACAGGAGGAAATGCCTGGTTTGGAGGATGGAGTATATGATATTGTACCTGTCTGAGGTCCCACCCCTCCTCAAACCCCACCCTCTCCAGGCTCCATCCCTCAAATCTCCAGGAATTTACCAACCCAGAGGTGGCAACCCTATTTCCTTCCCAGCCAACCATCAATGTACCATTATCTGCCCCTCTTACTTCAGGTTTCCATTTCTTCCCCCCTCCCTGTAGCCTCTGCCTAGGAAAACTACAGTCTTTCTCCGCAGTGGGGACCCAAGCAGGAGGGAAGTGACCTCAGCAGGTTATAATGACACAAAGTCCACCCTGAAAAGCAGCCGTTTTTTCCAGGGGAGGCGTTCTCTGCCATCTGGAGAGCCATTTTAATTCTAAGTGATCTCCAGCCCTCACCTGGAGATTGGCAGCAATGGCTCCCCAGGAAGAAAAGTACAGTCTTTCTCTGCAGTGGAGACCAAAGCAGCTTACCTGGTTCTCCCAGATTACCGAGAAACTCCTTGGATTGGTTTGACCTGGGAACTGCAAGCGGCAAGTAGTGATGTTCTGCAGTTATCTCTTTTGAGTCTATCTTGTAATCATTTCTGGTTATCAGTCTGCCAGAAACAAATTAAGAGGAAAACTCATAAATGGACATTTTATATACATGGGGCTAGATCTCATTATTCTGTTCCATTAACAGCAAAACTTTCTTCCAGGCTTCTCGTACCAGTGAAAAAGCCACTTTGGGTATGTAAAAGGTTCTGCCATTAGTAGACTGGAACTGTAGAATCCAATCCAGTATCTTCTAATGTTTACAAAAGTTCTGCAAGGGAGATTAATGTGATTTTGTGGCTGAAAGAGAGTAACTTGACTGAGTACCCCTAGTGAGTTCATGACAGAAGCGATATCCAAATCTGGAACTTCCTGGTTTGTAGTTCAGTGTCGGCTACTATGCTTTATCAGCTTTCGCAAAAGATCCTTCCCACTGCTTTAGTTCATTTCAATGAAGCTTATGTCCAAAAGACCTTTTAAGTGGAACCAGTACTTGAATACATTTTCTCTTTAATGCTCAGAACTCAGCCTAGAAGATTTGAAAGAGGACTGATAAAAGCACAGAGTTAAAGGGCAAGGAGTAATAATTAAAAAAAAAAACACTCTGCCCAACCCAGTTGCTTAGGTTTTTAACCAATGGAGTGTCTAATGTCTAATCTCATTCATGTTTATAGAGACCTAACCCACTGATTTTATTTTTCAACTTTATACCCGAGTATTGTGGAATCAGGGCTTCAACTGAACCTCAGTCCCGTGAACAACCTATGTTGTATTTATTTCTATCACTGAATCTTTGGTTTCCCAGAATGCTCCAGGGCTCAGCTAGTGCTTTAGCCTTTGTGATACAGATTGGCCATACAAAACATTTGCCTTAATGGGTGTTTATTTATACCAAACTGGGTGGGAATGGGAGTCCTAGGAAAGGTTCCTGCACTCCTAATTTCCCCAACACCGACCATTAAGAACCTTAAGGAAATTTACAATAATCCTTAAAACAAAACTAACAAAGATAAGACTTGTTGATTTTTATAACAACAAAAACAAGCATAATAAAAAAAACTGGAGCCCTTCAGTATTTCAACCTGATGATAGCCAAAAAACAGTTAAAGGCATTTGAACATGTAGGGACATGAAATCAATGCAATTTACTGCAAACAATGCAACTTACTCTCATAAAGTGGATTATGGGGAAAATGGGCATTAAACTGAGATCAAGGAAATAAATCATTATGTGCTTGGATTTCAGTTTTTAGAACAGGACAGCAATATATTTGCTTGCAAGCATGTGCGTATTCTATAAATAAAACCATACTTAAGCGTACAAAATCTTATAAAAATACCAACTCGCTTGAGGCTTGTGATTTAAACAACTGATCTCTCTTAGGCCCTGTGATAATTTCAGCATCCGTTTGGAGAACTAAGAGCACTAAATCTAGAGCTCTGCGCCATGCCTCTATCTTAGCCATAACATTGTCATACACTTTTAAAGACTTTTCACATGTCCCTACATGTTCAAAGATTGCTACCCCCATCTTCTCCTTCCTAAACTCACCCATTAGGTAGTTGGAAGGTGAACTGTGCATTGCTGCTTTTCTGAGATGCTGCTGTATAAAAATGCTGGCTTCAAACTCAGATGTACTGTCTGCAGTGTTGCACATGATAGCACAAAGGTACTGGTGCCAACCACATGCCAAAGCATCAAGTACTAGAGGTTTATACTGTTCCGAAGACTTTGCAAGCCAGGAGGAACCGACATGAAAACCTTTTGTGGAACTTTTGACCTCTTTCCCCAGTTTCTCAAGGTAACTGAGACAGAGCAACTCAACAACACCACTTCCAGGAAAGACTGCATTATCAAGAAGAGCATGGTGCACACGATAAGCGCAAGTCCAAAAGTTATCTTCAATGGCTTGCATCTTGGAGAATACTGGACTGCTAAGCACCACTGTTACCAGGTGAATTCCTTTTGCTGTTATAACAATCGGAACTCTGCTGTCCAGTTCCATCCAACCTGACTCTCCCGTTCCCCAGAAGTTTAAATAAACATCCTTTCCAACACAATGTTCATTCACCTGAGCGAGGTAGGTCACTATTTCTGCTCCTGTAATATTGCTAAAAGCTTGCAACACAGCATGGGTTACCTGATTAATTATCAGTATGTGATGTAGGAAGCATTTTTCCTCTAAACTTTCACACGTGTTACCTTGCACCAAAAGTAAATCAATATGGTATTGATTCAGAATATCTAACACAGCGTCAGCCCACAAGCCTGAGCTATTTGCTTGATTATTCCCACTTTCTAAGATCATTCTCACATTTTGTGACCTGTTAAATCCCAAATGGCGATACGTATCTGTTAGGTCACCATCTACAAGAACAATATGAAGAGGTCTATCCTGAAGCTGCTTAGCAACAGCAGCTTTCTCTGGACATAACAACATGACATACCCAGGACAAACACAAGAATAACTTTCAGACATCCCTGGTAAACAACAAGTTACAATTTCTGAAATATTAAATTGAAAATGATGGGAGTCAGCTGTTTGAGAGTCAGTCTGCAACCAGCATCTAAGAACATCCTGTACCAGTTTCATTTCAGGCCCCTTTCCGTGGCTAAGAGACATTGCCACCTGTCCCAAATACCCGAGTTCATTCGTATGTTTTGCAGATCCATCCAAGTCATCTGTCAGCTGTTGTGAGTGAAATTCCTTTGCACTAGTGAAATATCTACTGTGAATGAATTTTGATCTTTTATTACAGTTTGATACATCCAAATGACTTCTGCAACCCATTAGAACACAAATGTCATCTTTTGGCTTAGCCTGTGAACACTCTGTGCTGCTGCCTTTAGCAAATAACCATGGATACTGAGAGCTTTCCCACTGCTGAATGATAGGGTCATTTAATTCTTTTTCTGACACATGGATTTCAAAACTGTCTTTGGATTCGATACCTGAAGTTTTAGTTTCAATCGTCTGCCTTCCAGTTGTGCCAAAACGGATGTTAATGAGGGCTTTGTTGTTGTATTTCATAGGAATATCATCTAGCTTTTGCTTCACATCCTGCATCGGTATTGTCAGGGACTGAACTTGCTCAATGCAAGAACTGAGACCTTCAGACATCAGAGTTACTATTATTGAAAGGGGAACACCCTGCTCAAGGCACTCAAGTACCGCACTGCTCCATGCACTAACAAGAAACAACAGGGTGGTTGTTCCAGTTTTATACTCCTTGTTCTGTGCTTGGATGGCGTCATTAAGAAGTTGTCCCACCGTATTATCTGAATCCAAGCTTTCAAGAAGTCTCACTGCAGAGCAAACCAACACACTGCCAGAAGTTCTTTTATCAACAATAAATTTGGATGATTTAATTGGCCCTAAAAAGGTCTTTGCAACAGATGCCAAAGAGGAAAGTTGCTGCAATCCCAAATGCCTCTTTCTGTTCATCTTTTCCAAAGCCAGGATCCCAAAACATCTGCAAACGAAAACACATACTTATTGTTTCTGCCTTTTATTGCCTTCTTCCTCTTACTTCATCCATTCCACACTTGAATTTATGAATGTCTTCAATAGGGATACAACAACTGGAAGCAGATGAAATTCCTTGAGCCTCACAAATAGAAGTTGTGTATGGAACACAGGTAACTAAAGTTAGAATTAGGGCAACTTGTTACTGGGCAGTTAGAACTAGATGGCTGAGGACTTTAGCAAGAAGGACTCTGGAGTTAAGACAGGAAAGAAGAAAGACACTGATTGATATTCAATTACCAGAGATGGGAACAGAAGTCCAACATCATCCAATAACCTTTATACGACAAAGTGATTCATGAGACACATTCCTAAACTCCCTGATTCTTCTGCTGCCAGATGTTGGCTCTCAAATTTAGAAGTGGTTAGGTCAGACCCCCATGGGCAGAGTCCATGGAGAGATTTCCCTTCTAGTGGAATGTTTCCTTGAGTTTCCACTTTCTTCTCGGGCAGAGAAGAGTAAAAAAGCTCTGTAGTCATAACTGTACCATTAACCTAATTTCTGTAAAACAGTTTCATGTATTTGAAGCAAAATTCCCATTAAACAATGTTTTCAGATATGAGAATATACAAAAACATACATAAATACATACGAGAAGAAAAAGGAGAAGTGTACAATGCCAAATGTTTTTGGCAACTTTCTTGGCAGTCACTTTTGATAATAACCTCCTCTTACTCAACTGAGTATCAGTATTTCCCACAAACAACTGAATCATCAAACAACTTTAATTGCTAGTGGCACCACTCTGTCTTAACTTCATATTAAAATAATAGAATGTCACCATTTGAATATCAGTGAAACTCCTCACATATCTCATATGAATAATATTTTCAGAAGCAAAGACTAAGATGGCTGCAAGATGCAACATCTGGCCCAGGTGATACTCGAACCAGTCCTTCTCTCTGGGTGGGAAGTAGCTAGTAATTCAGAAGCCCCGGGGAGAGAGAAATTTGGTTACAGCATCATCTCTTTAATAGAACAGTAAAACATCCTGAATTTGTAAAGTACACACTGTGACTCTTAAATGAGTCACTGCTGTTCACCACTCACTTTTCCTCAGTTACATATGAATGTATGCATGCCTATGTAAAAGCATATGGCGTACCCTGAAGAAAGGGGGCCAATGCACCCCAAAACAGAGACCAACGGGATCAAACTCAACGGTTCTGGGCTGCCTTTCTCAGCAACTGATTTCAGAGGGAGCCATTTTTCATGGAGAAGATACATCTGACTCTGCCGGAGTTGTGAGAGGTCATGCAGATGCCTGTGCATACTACCTATGGTGGTAGTCCCAGAGTTGCCCTTAAAACATTTAGATTTTAGTCCAGTAGCACGATAGAGATGAACAAGAGTTTCAAAGTATAAACTTTGGAAAGCCAAAGCTCAATCTTGCACTCTCGAAAGCATATACCCTGAAACACTTGTTGGTTTCTAAGAAGAGTTGGTTTTTATACTCTGCTTTTCACTGCCCCAAAGGAGTCTCTGAGCGGCTTACAATCTCCTTCCTCTCCCCACAACAGACACCCTGTGAGCAATGCTCCCTCTAAGCTGTGGAGTCTTGTGAGCAAAAATTCTACTTTGTGAGCTACTGGCATTAGCGTTGTGAGCCAGAGCTTCGGCTACTGCATAAACTAGTTTGCTCTGGAGCCATCCTTCTGCTATCCAGTTCCATCCAACCTGACTCTCCCGTTCCCCAGAAGTTTAAATAAACATCCTTTCCAACACAATGTTCATTCACCTGAGCGAGGTAGGTCACTATTTCTGCTCCTGTAATATTGCTAAAAGCTTGCAACACAGCATGGGTTACCTGATTAATTATCAGTATGTTATGTAGGAAGCATTTTTCCTCTAAACTTTCACACGTGTTACCTTGCACCAAAATTAAATCAATATGGTATTGATTCAGAATATCTAACACAGCGTCAGCCCACAAGCCTGAGCTATTTGCTTGATTATTCCCACTTTCTAAGATCATTCTCACATTTTGTGACCTGTTAAATCCCAAATGGCGATACGTATCTGTTAGGTCACCATCTACAAGAACAATATGAAGAGGTCTATCCTGAAGCTGCTTAACAACAGCAGCTTTCTCTGGACATAACAACATGACATACCCAGGACAAACACAAGAATAACTTTCAGACATCCCTGGTAAACAACAAGTTAAGTTACAACTCAGCTTAGAGGGAACACTGCCTGTGAGGGCTGTGGGGTGGGGCTGAGAGAGCTCTGAGAGAACTGTGACTGACTGCCACTGGGCTAAAATCTAACTGTTCTCTCCTGCCGGCCAACACGACTACCTTGTTAAAACACTGTGTGTGGGATAAGGAGAGAATGTTGGCATTACCCCCCCCTAGCCAACAAACTAGCACTATGATGCCCCAGATCAAATCGTTTTCATTTCTCAGCAGACCAATGCCCCCGAATGGGATCTGACCTTACCAGAAGAGCATTGCATTCATTTTTGGGGAAGGGGGGGACCTCGGGGTGGGTATCTTGGCTTTCTTCTTTGCAGGCGACGAGTGACTAGAAGCATACCTTACCCGCTTAGATGTTAGTTCCCCTTTGAAGGATAGCGGCTCCTGCGCCTCGGACCTCAGGAGCAACTGATCAGCCCTCCATTCCACTAATCGCCTTAATGAATGAACCCCCCGCACCCAGCTTCTCCCCACACTTCGGAAGCCACTCCCACCAGAAGCGCGCCAACATGAAGCCCACCCCCCGCTAAACTCCCCCTTCGCGGGTGGGCGGGGAGGAAGGGCACTTGGCTTCAACTCTTGACGATGCGCAGGCGCAGCAGCAGGGAACACGCCGCCTCGCAAGCGGCTGAGCGCAGCAGAGCGCGTGACGGCGATTGGAGGCCTCGGGAGGGGAGGCTGCCCTGCCAGACGCGATTGGAGGCGTGAGGTTGCAACGGCGGCGCCCTGCCGGGGAGGAAGCGACGTTGCAGCTGAGATCTGGGACTCACCTGCTTAACTGGCGGGCAGGGCGAGGAAACACGTTTCACCTCTGCTCTTTTGTTGTTGTTGTTGTTCAGTCGCACAGTCGAGTCCGACTCTTCGCGACCCCATGGACAATCTCCCGCCAGGCTCTCCTGTCTTCCGCCGTCCTCCGAAGTTGGCTCAATTTCATGTTCGTTGCATCGCTGACACTGTCTAACCATCTCATCCTTTGCCGTCCCCGTCTTCTTTGACCTTCAATCTTTCCCGGCATCAGGGTCTTTTCCAGTGAGTGCTCCCTTCTCATTTGGTGGCCAAAGTATTTGAGCTTCAGTTTCATTATCTGGCCTTCCAGGGAACAGTCAGGGTTGATTTCTTTGAGGATTGACTGATTTGTTCTTCTTGCAGTCCACGGGACTCTCAAGAGTCTCCTCCAGCACCATAGTTCAAAAGAATCTATTCTTCGGCGCTCGGCCTTCCTTATAGTCCAGCTCTCGCAGCCATACATGACTACTGGGAATACCATTGCTTTGACCATGCGGACTTTTGTTGGCAGGGGGATGTCTCTACTTTTTATCATGCTGTTTAGGTTCGCCATCGCTTTCCTCCCAAGGAGCAGGCGTCTTTTAATTTCATGGCTTTTGTAGCCCTCTGCGAATGAGAAGCGGGAGCAGCTGGGGGGGGGGGTGTCCCCCTGGGCCTGCGGACCCTGATTACGGTTTGCGTCTTTGGATGATCATACACAGGCACACAGTGCATCTGAACAAGCCTTTCAGGGTCTTTCTCGCGCCGGTGCTCAGTTTATTCCCCCCCCCCTCCGTTTTTATCGGGGCTCCATTAAGCTGCGGTGGCCCAAGTGGTTAAGACGCTGAACTGCAGGCTGTGGAAGGTCAGTAGTTCAGCAGTTCGAGACCTGAGTGTGCCGCATGACGGAGTGAGCTCCCGTCTCTAGTTCCAGCTCCTGCCAACCCTAGGAGTTCGAACGCAAGACATTGCAAGTAGATAAATAGGGACCACCTCGGTGGGAAGGTAACAGCGTTCCGTGCACCTTGGTGTTTAGTCATGCCGGCCACATGACCATGGAAACGTCTTCGGACAGTGCTGGCTCTTCGGCTTTGAAACGGAGATGAGCACCGCAACCCTAGAGTCGGATTCGACTGGCTTTCGAGCAAGGGAACCTTTACCATTAAACCCTAAACACCCTTCAGCCTCAGGACTGGGAGGGGGGGTCTTTTGGGAGCTGCCTTTCGTGCAGAAGGTCCCAGGGACGATCGTGAGCAACATCTCTGATGCACACCTACGCTCCGGCAATTACTTCTGGTCACTCTCCTCCAGCGAGTCTTTGGTTGCGCAGATACGCAGCCCTTCGTGAATGCTGCCACCTGATGGCTGTGTGTGGAAATCTCACCTTGGTCGCATGAAATTGGTCAGGGCTGTGGACTAGAATTGCACCTAGGTGAAGAACCTAGCCTTGCTGCTGCTGTCTCTTAAGCGCTTTCTAGCTTCGCCTAAGTGAAGGGAGTCAGGCATTTAAAGAGGGGTGTTTAATAAACTGCAGACCGGAAGGTGGGTAGTTCAGCAGTTCACCCCCAGTGCCGCATGAATGAGCTCCCCTCTCTGGTTCCAGCTCCTGCCAACCTAGCAGTCCGAAAGCAAGAAATTGCAAGTCGATAAATAGGGACCACCTCGGTGGGAAGGTAACAGCGTTCCGTGCGCCTCGGCGTCTAGTCATGCCGGCCACATGACCACGGAAACGTCTTCGGACAGCGCTGGCTCTTCGGCTTTGAAACGGAGATGAGCACCGCAACCCTAGAGTCGGACTTGACTGGCTTTCGAGCAAGAGAAACCTTTACATTTAATAAATGACCTCTGTTGGGGACCATGGCTTCATCTGACCCATCATGTGTATAATATTTGATATGCTTTTATTAGTCTGATACTTGAAAAAAAACGTTTTAACCCAAATATATTTTAATATGTGTAC